TGCCTACGTGCCGCGTACGGACGTTTTAAAAAAATATGCAAATTTTTTGGTGGGAAAGCGATCTCGGAAACCACACGAGCTAAGGGGCTGAAATTTTGTAGAGGTATTCCCTATGCATGTACTAGCTAAAGATTTCAAATTCAGCCCCCAGTTATACGTTGTACTCACGTAGGGGCCTATGAAAGTTTTAGAGGGAAAATTGCAAACTCGGGTACCAGGGAAGCTAGAAAGCTGAAATTTTGCAGGAGTGTCCCCTATCAAAGTGCAACTCAAATATTTCAAATTCAGCCCCAAGTTGTACATGGTACTCACGTAAGGGTATATAAAAGTTTCTGCAGGAAAATTACTAACTCGGCAACCAGAAGAGATGGAGGGCTGAAATTTTAGGCCGATGTTCCCTGTCCATAGTGCAATTTAAAAATTTCAAATTCAGCTTTCCAAGCACGTGGAGTACCCAAGTATAGGTGTGTGAGGGTTCTGGCGGGAAAACTGCTAACTCGATAACTAGAAAAGCTAGAAGGCTGAAATTTTGAGGAGATGTTCCCTGTCCAAGTACAACTTAAATATTTCAAATTCAGCGTTGAGATATCCGTGGTTCTTAAATACGAGCTCTTAAAAGTCTTGACGTAAAAAATTTTTCACTGAACAACTAGGTTACTTTTAAAGAACGGCTGTTAAATGGAAATTATACATTTACTTTGCAAAATTTATAATGATTTATGCCGGTGACTGCAAAAGGGAAGTGTAAAGCAACAGCCACTCATACAGTTAATGACCTGAATAATTCAAGTCCGGTGCAAAAAAGCATGACCGCACGGGCCAGCCCGGTGCGTTCCAGCCTGGGTTGACTAATCGCAACAAGGGTCGTACTTGTGTAAGGATATTTGCAGCGAAACGCGAGCTTACACTTCTTTGCAGAGTCTTTTCGGGCTTTTTGAAGTGTAGATGTGCGGAGCCACTTTCCTCTTCGACGTTTTTTGCTTTGCAGGCATTGTCCTGTTACAGCCAATGATACCAGCATGTTGTCAGTTTCTGACAATCCCGAACCGATTTCACCAGCCTTCAAACGAGTTTTTGCGTGCTGTAACCTTCCGCTAAGTCATTTTTACATCCACATCCCATTTTGTTTTCTTTGCGATCGCAACGAGGAACGTCCGCCCCCGTTACTTGCTTCATATGCCTTGGATTATCAGTCTTGTTTCGCTAGCTTGAGCTATAGATTAGATGCTGTGCAAGGTAGGGAAATAAATAAACACTTTGAACACGCACAGATTATAGCCTTCTACTCATTTTGTCGCCTTTGCACAAATGCAGCGCAAAATACAATCTACTCAAACAGTCATAAAAACATGTTATTCAAACACATTTAATCAATTCAGAAATTTGTTTTTTTTTTGTAAATTTTTTAAAGAACCGTGACGATGTATTACATCGCGGATGACCGTCTAACGCCAGCGGGCTGAAGAACCTTGTTTGAATTTTGTTAAATATGAAGTGCGTAAAATCCACAGAACAACAAAACGTCTTTTAGTGCAACAGATGAATGAATAGAATGGCGTAATAACTGTTGTGACACCAAACGATTCAAGGTG